ATCAAAGGGTAGGGGTTAATTGTGAAGTGTAAATGAAACTCATGTATGTCTTCCGCTCGACACCCGTAGTCTTCTGCGCAGAAAAGTGTCTGTACAATCAGTTTGTGTCTCGCATCCAGAGCCGGATTTTCATCGTAGAATGGAACATAGTATGGAATTTCAACAGTGTACCATATGTTGTCCTTTGTTGCCGTGGAGTATATCCGTTCATCGGAAATCTGCATATCACTCATTTCGGGTTCTGTGATCAATTTGAAACGAAGTGGTCCGTAATTAGTTTGTATGTGAATAATATTTGGAATATACATGTGCATATCAGACGGCATTGAAACATACACATCCTTCGTACCCAGTCGTGAGGTGATATTTTCTAGGCAAAATGAGTTTTGAAATCCAGCGAAAATGTAGCACAACAAAAACAAAACTTTTTGTCCCCGCATTAGTCACAGGTTTGGTAGATCGATTTCAGCCAAACATTTCGGGAGGAAGCACATTAAATACACATTGCCTGGCTGAAACTAGGACTCAGCTTCCAATGCCTCTCATGTACCTAAATGTTTCACTTTACCTTTAACGCTTGGCGTGGTAAAATGATTTAACAAAAAATGTGTTTGTGAGTGTGTGTGTGTGTGTCAAGAGAGAAAGCAATGTAGCTAAACATGTATCATATTTGATCGTGGACTGAATAGTTTTTCAACTTGGAATGAAATGTAACTAGTTTAGATCTTCGCACACACAAAATAATCAGAAAGTGAAGTTTGGAACAAAACATGATGAATTTGGGCACCTACTGAGGACAGGAATCGTGGGTTTAAAAGTTGGGAAACTGTTTCGCGAATGTTGGAGTTCATCCTCAGTTTAGCCCATAGGTTCACACTGCCGAAGGGACCGAACGACATCAAAGCCTCAAAGAAAAGAAGCAATCCACGAGAACGTTTTCAGTTCATATTTTCTTCACAATCACATACTCCTGTTATGTTGATTCCAGTTCTCCAAACATCCAACCTTCGTTTGATCACATCACCTGTAGTGAGATGTACAAACACATATGTTTTCTCAAGGTGTCGATCGCACCTGGTTCAGGCAACTTAAGTCCCACCCTTCTTAAACACGGTGCTCTGCCACTTTCTCAGAATTTTGCACACATGGCTCATCTTTCACTTGAATTTCGAACTATTCCAGACTGCTGGCACCCAGTGAGAATTACTCCCATCCCCAAAGGAATGTCAAAAATCACAATAGCGAAGCGTTTCAGACCAATTGCTCTCACTTCCACTGGTTTGAAATTGAT